CCACAGTGTGTATACGTCAGTTAACGGGAACGAGTTCACCGGTATCAGTGTGTATACCACAGTTAACGGGAACGAGTTCACCGGTATCAGTGTGTATACCACAGTTAACGGGAACGAGTTCATCGGTATCAGTGTGTATACCACAGTTAACGGGAACGAGTTCACCGGTAACAGTGTGTATACCACAGTTAACGGGAACGAGTTCACCGGTATCAGTGTGTATACCACAGTGTGTATACCTCAGTTAACGGGAACGAGTTCACCGGTATCAGTATGTATACCACAGTTAACGGGAACGAGTTCACCGGTATCAGTGTGTATACCACAGTTAACGGGAACGAGTTCATCGGTATCAGTGTGTATACCACAGTTAACGGGAACGAGTTCACCGGTATCAGTGTGTATACCACAGTTAACGGGAACGAGTTTACCGGTATCAGTGTGTATACCACAGTTAACGGGAACGAGTTTACCGGTATCAGTGTGTATACCACAGTTAACGGGAACGAGTTTACTGGTATCAGTTTGCAGGAAGAAAATCTGATAGTCATTTCATCAAAAACAACAAAGAAAATAACAATCGGTCAATAGAGATATGATCAAAACTAAGATTCAATGAAACTAGGACAAAATATGAACAGGTGAAATATTTACACTAAGACTCTTGAAAAAGTACAAGGAGAATAAGACCAAATGGACTACACCCACAATCTAAAGCCGACTAAGTAATGTCAAGATGTCAAGAACTAGGTACACAACAACGAACCAAACACAAGTACAAAAGCAGTGGTCAACATGATAATAATAATAAAATCATGGATATGAGGACGTCTTATTTTGTGGGTTTTTTTTTAAATATCTCATTTATTTATTCCAAATAAAACACAAATAATGCGATGGATTTCTAATAACATGGTTATGATTATGATAGATATATGTAGATGTAGATATATATGAAAAAAAAGCAACATGGTCTTAATACATCGTAATAAATTGCCTATTTCAACCATACATATTCATACATTTTTTACAGCTGGATTTATCGTCCAAAACTTATTTTGAGACGGGGTCTACGTGTAGTGACTGGTGACTACCTAACTGAACAATATCAAGGAGGCTCGTCGCATATCATCCAAAGCAATAAGGGTAAAGTATCTTGCCCAAGAATACAACCACGACAATACAAACCGGTCAGATTCCCAGAGCTTCCTGTGAAACATGGCCTAAAATTGATAGTGAACATACGTCGATACATTAACGGATTGAATAATCATGGCCCCCATTACAATTTAGTTCAAATATTTTATAATTATCATCATTTCAAAAGACATCAACGTCAAAAATATATACTGTTATTATATATAACTTATAGTATCATAAAATATGTCTAAAGACTAGGACACAATAATGACACTGGAACGTGTCATGGCAAAAGTTGAAGGCACAATCGAAGTAATTTGATTGGAGAAAAAACTGACCAATCACAGGTTGATACGCTCCTTTTGAAAATTACAAAGGAGCGTATCAGCGACTGCTCCGTAAGGCAGTAAAATAATATATGATTAGGAAAAGAATATAAACTGAAACAAAATCCACTCTATATAGTAGTATGGTACATATGATATTTTTCCTAAAATGTATCGATCTACTGATGTGCAAAGTTTATGTAAAATGTGATAATTAGTGTTTTTACACACTTTAATTATATATTTATTTGTTGTCGATTTCGAAAACTTGCTCTTAGGTATAAGTCCGGGAGAAATCAGTGTCATCAACGTATTCTGTACTTTATACAATTTGTTTAATCGAATAAAAACCTACAACAGTCTATAAACTATTTCAAAAATACAATATGCAGATATCGTTATTTCCATCGATAAAATGTACTTAATTTGATATAAACATTTAAATGTCTTACGGAGGTGTTCATATTTAGCCATTGATTCCTAAACAGTGAAACCTCACCTAACGACCACCTAAAAATTACGACCACCCCGCTGTTACGGGCACTTTTTCAGTCCCGTGTGAAACTGCATGTCAGACATGCTTTAGTAGCGATCTATTGTTTGTTAATTATATTTTGATAGATCGGTAGGTATGCTGTTAAACACCTTAGAAGCCATGTATACCCAAAGGTGAATTATGTTATCTTTTCGGCCGATATTCCTTTGCGCACACGTTGTCGAGGTTTTGTTTTTTTTGTAGCGACATTACACTCTCGACATGGCTTCAACAATCAAACAAACATGTATCTAAACGAATTTTTTGACGACATATTTTCATTGTCACAAAACTTAACACGTAATGACGACGGCACGTATACGAAACGACCTATCGCGATCGCTAAAAAGGACTTGTGGAAGAGGGGGCTGTCCAGATCCGTAGCTCTTCGCAACAGTGTACACTGGACTCTTTTTAAGTTAAAAGACAAATGTGTTGTACTGAGTGATACACTGACAGAGTTATTGTGTTTGCGAATTTATGTGAAACATGAAGCGTTGAATGACTTTATAGTGACTTCATTCATGTTGTTACAAATGTGTTTCACTGCGTAATACATTGACTGAGTTATAGTGTTTGTAAATTTATGTGAAAAAAAATGAAAAAAAGGTTTAATTCCTATTGAATTTAAAATTGATTGTTTTTTCGTTTATTCAATATTTACTATGGTCTTACTTTTGTCAATTCACCAATTTTATCTGTTTTACAAGCATTTCATAAAATTCAACAATTTATATACAGTTTAGTTATTATTGTTGCATAATATTACTTAATCATATATGTACAGTCTTTATTTTAAACAGAGTTACGGTTCTTTGCGGTCAATCTGATCCATCTCACTATTAAGACCACCTCGCTATTAAGACCAATTTTGTCCAGTCCCCAAAGTGGTCTTAACAGCGAGGTTTCACTGCAACCCAAAAATCTTTTAGTGTGAACAAGACACATGCTTACTTCAACTGTTCAAATCAAACTAAAACCATATGGCCTCCTTTTTATTCGCTTCTTAAAGAGTATTCATCAAACCATATTAAATAGCAGTCAACCGTCTGAACAACGACTGAATCTGATAAAACAAGACAACTCGGCCAAGGGTACAAGACACACCACTTCATCAAGATAATCCCATATGTCAAATACAAATGAACTGATTTTCAGTGACAGATACTTTAGGAGACAGGGCCATGACAAAAACAGAGGAGAACGGAAGGACGGAAGGATGGATGGACACAAGACAAATTTGATCTACAGTATCCCCGGTTCCCGGTGGATAGGTAGTAAAACAAGCCTAAAAGTATGTTGTTGACGTAACATATTTTGCCAGGCCTTTGACTGAATATTCTACTCGGTAATTCTCTACGTCATTATATTTATAACAGAACTGTGGCAGGCTTCACTTGAGTAAATGTAATAAACACATTGATAACATATATGCATATCTGTGGAGTATTTCCTTTGATCTTCTGGTAACATGATTCTTGTATCATTTAATCAACCTCCGCGATCCTCTGGAACCGTGACTTTCTACAAGAAGACAATGTCAGCGTAATCAGTTTTGTTTTCAGCACCATGAATGACAATCTTGCCCTCTCCATCACTGCCTGCCTTCTTGCTAAAGACGACCTCGACATATGTTAGCCCCTCTGTGTTAAGTGCCTACAACAACGAAAAGTTGATTAGAAAGAAAAATATATATCTGTTAACAGAATCTTCATTCAAGTTGATGAAACGTGGACAACATGTGAACAACGGGGAGCTATGAAACCTTAAAAAAGAACAATTCATGTGGTGTTCCAAGAGAGCAAGCGTCTTCTGCTACATCGACGACACCAGTAGTGCAAGTTTTCCATGAAATAATAATACCTTACAAACAAGGGCCAACTTCCTTAGATCAGATCTGACGTACTCTGAAAGTATTGCATTCCTAAAAAAACTCCAAAGGTGAAATCATACAATTGTTGCTTTTTTGTTCACAAAATACAGATTGTTGAAAGTTATAGATGAGCTTGGTGGGTTCATTGATAAATAATCGATTTGATTCTGAACGAGTTTGATGCTCCTTATTTTGCCTGTTCTGTTAGTTCCGTTATTGTATACCTTGTTCTCATTTAGAATGTAACATTACTTTCTTGGATTGACCAAAGTTTACATGGTGGATGTCTTCGATGAAACAAAAGACGCTTACTCTTACAGAACACCTGGTCTTATTCTCCTTGTAGTGTTTTAGGGCCTCCATGTAAATATATCTTTTGATCATATTTTGCCCTAGGTCTATTGAACTTGAGTTTGGGGCATGCTTATGTTGACATGTTGGTATTTTCTTGTTGTTTGTGGACTGCTAATGCTGTTTGTACAATGATCATCATTTTCCAGAACTCTTGGAAAGAAGTGTACTGAGTATATATTCCATGCCTTAGAAACCATACACTTACCCTTGAGGGTCCTGGAGCTTGATCGGTCACTTTACCATCTGGATTAACAAAATATATTAGGATAATTTCAGTTAACAACATGATTTAGCGAACGCTGGTCTATAAACAACTTTAAATTCGCGAATGATGAACTAATAGAGACTAGAACTCTTCAAGACTCTGATATCAGTAACTGGACAAATAATCGCGAGGGAATCAAATTCGCGATTGACTCTCCTCGCGCATCATCGCGAAAATAAATCCCACCCTAAATATGTTATGTACAGTACCGGAAGAAACAAGTTTTTGATGACGACCCCTACCAGCAAAAATATTGAAATTCATCGATAAGATTAAAAAAAACCTTTTCATAAATGACTGCGGATTGGTTAAAAAACCTGTCATTGGTCCAGTTATATTAGATGTTACATTGAAGCAGGTAGAATCATCACACGCGAGGCGAATGTAACGGTCCAAAACATAGTTAGGCCTCTTACGAGTAAATACACAGAATGAAATAACCCGAGCTCCCATTTTTGACGCATGAATTGTCAATGTGTGCGCTTGTCTTCAGGTTACGAGGGTAAATCAATCGTCGTATTCACCTGAAAACAGGGTCAATGCTTGTTAATTCAGTTGGTTTACACCACATCTTCTTTGTGTAATTTACTCTAACTTGAGCCATTTATACCAAAATATTAGTGTGATTTGATAAATTTTCTCGTCAATAAATATTTTCAAAAGGGCTTTTCTTGTTGTTAATTCAACGTAAAACTATTCGACGTCAAAACATGTGGAAATATACCCCGATGACGTTGAACAATGATTTATTTTATATTTGAATTGTTATTTCCTTATTTGGTGTCTGGTCAAAAACATAACAAACAAAAAACAAACAACCCGACAAACAAAACAAAAATGATAAAAAAAACCAATAATAAGATGGCTTCCAGTTAAATATTGCATATATTTCACATGTATAAAAGAACATATCATATTTGTTCTCGGCATTTTACCGTAATCATGAGATATGTGTGATATTAAACTGAAAATCATTAATATCTTGCCTATATAAGATGGCATAAAATATATCAAGGGCATTTCTCAGAGACAAATGGTACAGTAAGTCAAATCGCTGAGATTAGAGAACGTGGTCTTACTATTGAATAGTATACTATTTATAGTTTTAAAGAAATTACATCTTAATAGTATAGGGTTGGGGAATACATTAGTGTGCTTGTCTTACCTGAGATGCTGGTTCTTGAAACCATGCTGTGTGCACCCCTTTTCTCGGAAGTTGTGGCGCCACCTATTGTACAATGTAGATAAAACACAATAAGACGTACGTAAGGTCAAACTGATCTCTGCTCGTGTTAGAATATAAAAAGGTTATATTTGTGGGAGGAACGGTGTTCTGGTAAACGATAGAATAACATTATTTTGCTTGGAATGGTTATTATACCTATGTTGCAGATTCTTTTCTTGGTAATTTCAAAATATATTATATTCATGATTTCTTTTTCCGCAAGAATGTTTCGATATCGACATGGCTACAAGGAAGTCTTATAAGCCTACACGTCTTATAAAAAGCGATTTCCCTAACAAAAAGAATAAAAACCGATAAGAGTTTTGATTGACTGAGAGTAACCTCCCTTTGAAACAGTAAGCAGCTTGTAATTCAATCCTGCATTTATGATAGCAGGAATATCATATAACTACCACATTTCAGCTTTATTTAGAACGGCTTTCAAGAATATGTTTCATGAAAATTACTTTGCATTAGTCGCAGTTTTATTCCCAAGAATGTTTAACGCGACTGTGTAAAGATTGAATTTTAACAGGTGAATAAAGCCATATACAGAGGATATCACATGAGCTTCCATTTACATATCATGTATAGTAAACCAGATTTCTAATCTGGCAAAGTGAAATTAAAAATGTGAAAAATGAAAAATTCTGTCTATAACAAGAAATATAACATTGACGTGATTAATAAATTGATAATTTGGTAGTTATTGACAAATTATTCAACTCGATTAGAGTGAGAAGTAAAAATTGATTCAAATAATCAAAACAAACACGTTTACGGATTTTACCTGAATTGCGAGCTGGTTTCTGTACCATTGCATAAAGGCTGTTTGGTTCAGCACCAATGGCGTCTGCTAAAACGATGAGAGGGTAGCGGTCGTAATTGGGACAAGTAAAGGGGACAGATTGTCAGTACATTCTTGAGAAGTACATGTAATGAAGTCAGCTAAATTTTGAAGGCAGGTGGGACTTAAAGGGAAGTGACATTAAGCGAGATAGATAGATGGTACACTCTAGATAAGTAATGAAAACAGGTAAACGTTGAGGCAGGTACCAGGTAGTAATTATCGGGATGTGACATTAAGTGAGATAAACAGATGTAAGCTCTAAAGAGGCAGTGAAGACAGGTAGACGTTGAGACAGGTACCTCGTGGTAGTTATAGGGAAGTGACATTAAGCGAGATAGAGAGATGGAACGCTCTAAAGAGGTACTGAAGACAGGTAGACGTTGAGGCAGGTATAGGGAAGTGACACTAAGCGAAATAGACTTATGGTACGCTAGATACTAGTTATATGGAGGTACCTGATCAAAGATTTGTGCTTTACTATAGACAGGTCGAAAAGATGGGTAGCATTCCGAGGATATTTGAAAGGTTTCCTGTTTTTTTTTTATCTTTTGTATTTGTTGCGTACGACATAATTCATAACTTTTTATGAGTGCGAAAAAAAATCTACATATTCGGCAATTTGACAGAAATGTATAATTAATCAACAGGAAAACATCCAATTTTCTTTGTCGGTACAACTTTAGATTGACAAATTCCAAATAGATGATCCAAGACAGGTACCATGATAATATGTTTGACGACAAGACATTCTCATTCTGACTTGGTCACTATACGTAGTATCACTTAGTTTATCTGCATGGGATCTGGGCTTCAGTATAACAAAGTACAATATCACATTGGAAAATGGAATTTCCATTTCATATCAGATGTAGGAATTCAGATGATTTAGTTTCTAATTTTGTAAAGATAAAAACTTAACTCTCTGTTTCTTTCTTTGGTGACGTCACAATCCATATGACAGCATAACACTGTGACATCACAAATGAAACAATGGCAACATCAAATAGCTATAATTTAAAATGATATCGGCGTAGTTAAGGGATAGCTACTATCAGCTTGTTAAGGATTGGAAGTAACAAGAATAAGAATTACAATAAATTATTTAAATAAAGAAAAGAACATTCTTGTGTATTTCAGATTAATTCAATGGACCATCAGATATGCACTTACCGGACTTGCGAGACGGTTCATTTACCATTCCATCAACGTTGTTCGGTCCAGTAGATATGGCTTCATCTAAAATGATGAGAAATATTTTATCTTGAAGAAGCGAATTTATGTCTGAGGTCGTAATAAACAGTAGGTAAAAATATACTCATCGACATTGCTACATTTTTATTTTAGAATATGCTGGGTATGCGAGATAGGGATTGTCCTCTGAGAGGCCAAAAGGTCATCACAGCTGACACAAACCCGTCAAATAAATAACTCAATCGAGATATACAGTACGCCATAAAGATTTAGACTGAATAACTGAAAAATGCAGACAGATGGAATGAGATAAGATTTGAGATAGACCGATGGTACGCACTAGAGAGGTGATTAAGATAGAGAGATGCTGTATGTTGGTAGAGGTTATGGTAATGTTAGAAAAGATATAAGATAGACATATTGTTCGCTTTAGAGAGGTAATGTAGACAGGTTGAATATTTCGCTATTGCAGGTGTGTGTTTACTATAGCCAGATAGAGGAGTTAGGTACTATACGGAGGATATTTCATTGTTTCCTGTTTAATATCTATATTTCTAGCGTATCACATAATACATAGATTCTAGAGTATGACATAATACATAGATTCTAGAGTATGACATAATACATACATTTTAGAGTATGACATAATACATAAATTTTAGAGTATGACATAATACATACATTCTAGCGTATGGCATAATACATAAATTCTAGAGTATGACACAATACATACATTCTAGAGTATGAAACAATACATACATTTTAGAGTATGACATAATACATACATTTTAGATTATGACAATACATAGATTCTAGAGTATGACATAATACAAACATTCTAGAGTATGACATAATACATACATTCTAGAGTATGACATAATACATACATTCTAGAGTATGACATAATACATACATTTTAGAGTATGACATAATACATAGATTCTAGAGTATGACATAATACATACATTTTAGAGTATGACATAATACAAACATTTCTACGAGCGTGAGAAAGACATCGATATATTTTGTGGTATGAGTAAAATGTATAAACATTCAACGGGAAAACGTTTAATTTCCTTTTTCATTTCATATGTGAATTGGAAATGATAAAAGTTGATCCAAGTTTAAAGTAAATTTATATCAGAAGTAAGGACGGGTACCACGATAATATGTTTGACGACAAGACATTCTCATTCTGATTTGGTCACTATACGTAGTATCACTTTGCTAATCTGCATGGGATCTGAGCTTAAGTATACCAAAGTGTGTTGTGTAGACATATAATGAAATTGGTAATCGGCAATTATAGACAGGAAATAGTTATAAGTAGATTGTAGTTAGAGAAAAAACAGTAGGTATAGACAGTTGGTAGATTGTAGACATGTGGTGGTTATAGACAGGTGGTAGATTGTAGACATGTGGTGGTTATAGACAGGTGGTAGATTGTAGACATGTGGTGGCTATAGACAGGTGGTAGATTGTAGACATGTGGTGGTTATAGACAGGTGGTAGATTGTAGACATGTGGTGGTTATAGACAGGTGGTAGATTGTAGACATGGTGATTGTAGACATGTGGTGGTCATAGACAGGTGGTAGATTGTAGACATGTGGTGGTTATAGACAGGTGGTAGATTGTAGACATGTGGTGGCTATAGACAGGTGGTAGATTGTAGACACGTGGTGGTTATAGACAGGTGGTAGATTGTAGACATGTGGTGGTTATAGACAGGTGGTAGATTGTAGACATGTGGTTATAGACAGGTGGTGGATTGTAGATATCTGGTGGTTATAGACAGGTGGTAGATTGTAGACATGTGGTTATAGACAGGTGGTGGATTGTAGACATGTGGTTATAGACAGGTGGTAGATTGTAGACATGTGGTAGTTATAGACAGGTGGTGGATTGTAGACATGTGGTTATAGACAGGTGGTAGATTGTAGACATGTGGTGGTTATAGACAGGTGGTAGATTGTAGACATATGGTGGTTATAGACAGGTGGTAGATTGTAGACATATGGTGGTTATAGACAGGTGGTAGATTGTAGACATGTGGTGGTTATAGACAGGTGGTAGATTGTAGATATCTGGTGGTTATAGACAGGTGGTAGATTGTAGACATGTGGTGGTTATAGACAGGTGGTAGATTGTAGATATCTGGTGGTTATAGACAGGTGGTAGATTGTAGACATGTGGTTATAGACAGGTGGTAGATTGTAGACATGTGGTGGTTATAGACAGGTGGTAGATTGTAGACATATGGTGGTTATAGACAGGTGGTAGATTGTAGACATGTGGTGGTTATAGACAGGTGGTAGATTATAGACATGTGGTGGTTATAGACAGGTGATATATTGTAGACATGTGGTAGTTATAGACAGGTGGTAGATTATAGACATGTGGTGGCTATAGAAAGGTGATAGATTGTAGACATGTGGTGACTATAGACAGGTGGAAGATTGTAGACATGTGGTGGTTATAGACAGGTGGTAGATTATAGACATGTGGTGGTTATAGACATGTGATAGATTGTAGACACGTGGTGGTTATAGACAGGTTGTAGATTGTAGACACGTGGTGGTTATAGACAGGTGGTAGATTGTAGACATGTGGTGGTTATAGAAAGGTGATAGATTGTAGACATGTGGTGGCTATAGACAGGTAGTATATTGAAGACATGTGGTAGTTATAGATAGGTGGTAGATTATAGACAGGTGGTAGATTGTAGACATGTGGTAGTTATAGACAGGTGATAGATTGTAGACATGTGGTGGTTATAGAAAGGTGGTAAATTGTAGACATGTGGTGGCTATAGACAGGTGGTAGATTGTAGACATGTGGTGGTTATAGACAGGTGATAGATTGTAGACACGTGGTGGTTATAGACAGGTGGTAGATTGTAGACGTGTGGTGGTTATAAACAGGTGGTACACTGTTGAGATGTGGTTATAGATGGGTGTAGAAATAGGTGGTACAGGTAGGTAGTAGATATAGACAGGTGGTACAGGTAGGTTGTAGATATAGACAGGTAGGTTGTAGACATAGACAGGTGGTATAGGTAGGTTGTAGATATAGACAGGTAGGTTGTAGATGTAGATAGGTGGTACAGGTAGGTTGTAGATATAGACAGGTGGTACAGGTAGGTTGTAGATATAGATAAGTGGTACAGGTAGGTTGTAGATATAGATAGGTAGTACAGGTAGGTTGTAGATATAGATAAGTGGTACAGGTAGGTTGTAGATATAGATAAGTGGTACAGGTAGGTTGTAGATATAGATAAGTGGTAGAGGTAGGTTGTAGATATAGACAGGTAGGTTGTAGATATAGGTAAGTGGTACAGGTAAGTTGTAGATATAGATAAGTGGTAGAGGTAGGTTGTAGATATAGACAGGTAGGTTGTAGATATAGGTAAGTGGTACAGGTAGGTTGTAGATATAGACAGGTAGGTTGTAGATATAGGTAAGTGGTACAGGTAGGTTGTAGATATAGATAAGATATAGGTAAGTGGTACAGGTAGTTGTAGATATAGATAAGTGGTATATTGTAGATATAGACAGGTAGGTTGTAGATATAGGTAAGTGGTACAGGTAGGTTGTAGATATAGACAGGTAGGTTGTAGATATAGGTAAGTGGTACAGGTAGGTTGTAGATATAGATAGATGGTACACGTACGTTTTATACATAATCGATGAGATGAGAATTAGTACTATGTCTATTTGTGTAAGTAATAGATAAAGAATGTAATACTACCTCTGCTTTTAGGCCTAACCACATTGGCATATACGTCATTCACAGGCCGCGATTGTTCAGACTCTGTAAATAAAATTAATAAAAGTTATGTTACCTAGTATATACTATCAGTTAATGTTTACTTTCGGTTAATCAATGGTTAATTGATTTTGTCTTATCCCTGTTAAGTATTAAATACATGTAGTTAATTTAACCATTGAACAACCATAAGATTGCATTCATTGTATTATGAATGCAATATAGGTGACAAATTCATAACAATGCGTATTTTTGTTTTCAGATTTGCCACTTTTTATTACGATATCACGTTTCATAGAGTAGACTTTCTTAAAACAGTACCAGTAGAAGATTAGAGTGTGACGTTTCACGGTCGCCTTCATCAGATAAGTGACCATCTCGTCACACTATTTTGACCTTAGTGTACATAGGATCACGGTACAGCCGAAAAAGTTGCCATAAGATTTTCTTACCATCTCGGACACTACATACGTCAGTGCTAGAACATTCAAAACTGGTCATTGATGGAGGTGATCGTGTATTTATCGAAACAACACACTTTAATTTTCTACTGGTTATGTTGTAAGAACTTCTATCTTATTATCATTACCAAGCTGAAGAAAATATTCCAAACTACATAAATCTATCAACCAGGTACAGTTTATATAGATTCCCAGCATTTATCTAACATAACTGTTCATTAGTTTCACTACGATTCAGCCCTTTTTATTTTTCACTCAAGAATAGGAATGTCGAAACCTATCTTCGAGGTAAATATATGTTCAGTTAACCCTTTAATATGAGGCGTGCTAAATGTTAAAAGAGTAAAAATAAGCTTGGTCGATATGCAATAAGGTTGTTATACAATGGTGTCTTAACGTAACTGTATCAATAATCAACACTGATTTAATGGGAGATCAGTATTCTACATGTAAACACGTACTTACAAATACCAGGCACGTCACACTTTATTCGAAATTTTGGTGCAAGTAATAAAAACAAGTATTGAAGCACTTAAAAAATAAGAAAACACTACTAACCTGTTCCGTGGATGGAAATGAAGGCATCAGCAGGTTGCTGTGGCAACCCTTGAAGGCCTTGAGGTGCTGTCAATCAAAAGTTCTAAAATCAGCAATGAAAGTTTACAAAAAGTTTCAACGATAAAGGAACACTACTCAACAGGGTTTTGAGGGGCGTAGAGAGCGAAAGTGATTGTAAATCGTTAGAAACTATTGCGTTCTTAGCAATGCCAAGACTGACTGGTTTGTTGAACGAGTATGTGTCATAATATGTTCAAATTAGGATATTGAAAAACGACACTTATAATTCATTTCTATTCGTGACAGACAGACAGACAACCAGACAACCAGACAGACGTCGTTACAGTACAATTAATAATCATATATAGTCAACGGGACATAACTCCCCCTCAAATTTAATGACATTGAACGGCTGGATAGCTGTAAACAGAACTTCCGACTTCGTCATTTGTCAAAAATGTCTTTACCAACAAGTTATTCTTTCGAGTTTCATGTAGAAATTAAAGCATATTGAACGTCTTAAATAATTAAAAAAAAACCGTAACAGATATGTATATGTATAATGCTGTGAAACACATGTTGCTTAAACATTTTCTTGTCAAAATTATATAGATGAATTAATTGATATCCAAATTTGAAAAAAAGCAACCCATCACGAAAAAAAAAATCTCATTTCATGTATATTTGATTACTAGTTTAACGCTCGGGAACCTTCGTTACTTTCCGTAAACTCGAAACTATATCTTTTTTAACTCGAACTCCGCCGAATGATCATGATTTTGCTCGAAGCTTTCACATCATCAACAAGACCAACCCCTGGTTATTATCCAAATATTATATGCATATAATAAAACATTATCAGTTAAATTTAGTTGTGAAAGTTCCTGAAATTTACTTGAACTGATGTTTAATCTACTTGCGTTAAGCCATGAATCAGGCAGTTTGAAATTGCAGATTAATGTGTTTCTTGTTGAGCAAATTATCGACACTTCGAGGCAGTGTCCAATTAATGTTGATCAAATTAAGGGGAGCAACTATGCCAAAAGAATTAAATACGACCGGCACTGTCTTATAATACTGTAAGAAAAATTTTATTGGCACCGAAAATGTATGGTATAAGTAGGAACCAATTATGTATTTCATACACACACACAATTGATATGATAGTCTTGACAAGACAGAAGCCATTACAAGTATGCTATCGATTTTTCTTAAGCAAACATCTATATCTAGACATTTAATATTGTCCAATATTGAAAAACAAACTCGGGATACGATCACAAGCGTTTCATTGAGTAAGACAGCGAGTACACGAAAGGACATCCTCAATATTCCAGTGCTACTATCAATTTCGCCCTCTGAATCCCTGGAACATGCCATGGCAAAAATGAAGACACCGGAAAAGTAATTTGATTGACTCCAGGAGAAAAATAACTTGAAGATTACAAACGAGCGACTTCAAAACCATTACAATATAAGTCATGTGACTTCGAGAATCGTTCGATGTACATCAAAGGACCAAACTATCCTTTTCTTCTTGTCCACAAGGTATCGCACATGCAACCTTCAAATTTTGCCATGACATGTTTCAGGGGTACTGAGAGTAAAAGTGATCGTAATCACTGGAGTATCGAGGATGACGAAAGGAAAGAAAAGTGTCAAATTGAATAGGCCAAGCCGTGAGATTAAGGTTAAAGTGAGTATTCTATAATGACTTTTCGAATACACAACATAAACTGTCTGGACAATGTATAAATACATAACTAGAAAATACTAGAACGTCATGATACAATGATAGCTATATAGTTGTTGTTTTGTTACACAATGTACATATGACATTTCCAAATTAGATTAAGATCAATGCAGAATTTGAATATTTCTTTTAAACAGAGAAAACCGTTCAGAGGTTTGGTACCACCATATATCATTACTTACCTATATCCTGTTGCTCATATGAAGCATTGTGCACGCCATGGAATGTCTCAGCGGATCTCTGACTGACATTACGTTTTCTTTCTGTAGTAGAGATGGTACTCATTATATGTTGTGCAATATTTAATCCTACAAATATTTTCTTTTTACAAGAAACTTCCGAAATAGTGCATCTAGAGATATAAAAAATAAATGTAAAGAAAATATTAAATTAAGTTCAAAACATTTTTATATAAGCAGAATAATAGAAAAGACTTATGGTGTTGTATGATGTAGATTGATTATTCAGGATTCTTGTTGTACAAAAAGTCTGTTCCCCCCTCCCCCCAATTCACAACTAGTCCATGATACCAAATGTCAAAAGAGACAATAAACTGAAACACAGAAAACCGAAGAAAAATATATCTATCTACATTTCCCTTGCCAATGATTCAATTCATTCGAAAAATGGTTCGGTTCAGAATATCCAAATGGTCATGACATTTTTTAATGAAATTACCAGATGTACTCAAAAACATATATCGACTTAAACATATGCCTGTCTTGAAAATAAAGTTTTTTATGTTATCGACTGATATTTGCTTACTATGACAGAAAATGTGCCAGAATTTAGGCCCTAAGTGTTCCTAGGACGAAACAGTTGTATGGTGAAGTATCACTGACAAGTCCTCGAAGGACGAAACAGCTATATGGTGAAGTATCACAAACAAGTCCTCGAAGGACGAAACAACTATATGGTGAAGTATCACAGACAAGTCCTCGAAGGACGAAACAGCTATATGGTGAAGTATCACTGACAAGTCCTCGAAGGACGAAACAGCTATATGGTGAAGTATCACAGACAAGTCCTCGAAGGACGAAACAGCTATATGGTGAAGTATCACTGATAAGTCCTCGAAGGACGAAACAGCTATATGGTGAAGTATCACAGACAAGTCCTCGAAGGACGAAGCAGCTGTTTTGGAAAGTATCACAGACAAGTCCTCGAAGGACGAAACAGCTGTTTCGTAAACTATCACTGACAAGTCCTCATCAGTGTAAAATCATGCCCGGGATGGATGCACGATTGTCAAGCCCCGGGTACATACAAAACATTTACCAAAGATGACCAAAACAAGTTAGACAATGAGTACCGATTGATTATTCACAAACACCGACATCGTTTTGATATGCAATTCACCACAAATTAAATAGAAGCATTAAAAATGAGAACATTTAACATTTGATCCAAGTTCTCTTTTCTAAATGTCCGTGCCGATTAATAGTGTAATTTCCAAAGGCATGATAATTAACAAAGATAAGGTTTCCAGTAGAGTTATAAAAATGTCTTACCTTTGTTGTGTTTTCGCTTTAAGATGACGATGACAGTCACAATGATGAGAATGAGAACTATCACCACACTAATCCATACAGCGGGGTGAATGGCACCTTGAGCAAGCGACGTTCCTAAAAATACATTGTTTAAATTCTATATTTGAATGATAATATTTCGGAATCGTATTCATGTTAAAAAGAATAGGCCGCTTATGTTTTTTGCAATTTTCACCCAGATGTCATATATTTCAAAACTCAGAACGTCATATAAAACGCCACTCTTTTAGAAAAGAAGAGAACTTATTGGTTACAAAGTATATGAAAACGCAAAATCAATCATTTTACATTGATTTTTTTTCTCTATTTAATTATGCCCTACCTCCGTGGGTTTCATATATCCTAAAGTGCCCACGATAAAAAAGTTAAACAATTATGTTTGAAAACAAAACATAACGAGATTAACTATACTGTACCAGCATCTAGGGTGTTGATAGAAAACTCGTACAGAAATCTCCCCTGTGAGTTGGTTACGGTCAACGTGTAGTATCCCAGGTCAGAATTGGTTATGTTTTCGATACTGTACGTATATTTTGTGCTGTAATAGTCGTATCTCGTCGACTGCATTGATAAATTCCTCTCCACAGCTGGACCATTTCCGTCTCTTTCATGTTGGAGGTAAGCGAGTGGGGAAGGTGACGCCTCAACGGACATACTACTTGTCCAGGCGTCTCCCATGCGTACAATGTAAGTGGAATTTAGCAGGTCCTTTCGGGGTACTTCTGGAGGGACTATACCAACAGTAGATTGAGACATATAGCAATTGAGTAATCTGATTGAATCTGAACAGAAGTATATTTCCTTTCGTATTGTCTGTGATCATGTACAGAACATATTAAAAAATAATGGTGATATTTTACATTTATTTGAAACAAAACGATAATTGAAAAATATCCACATTTATACATAGTCTACCTCTATGTTAAAAAAATAGTTTTGGAGACCATAATTTTAGCAAATATTTCAAGAGACATATTCAATGTACCAAAATATTGAATGTGCCCGCGTCATCAACATGTTTACTATATTATCATAATCAATGTGTTTTTTTCGTAAACTTATTAGGCGTATTCAACGTGAATCCATCGATTTTTCGTATGCATTATGTACATGTTGCATCATTCGAAAGGTCAAACTGCTAATCTCGCCTAAGTTCTTGGAAACATATGAAACAAAATGTGATACAGAATGATAAAATGGCCATTGTGTACGCATGGAAAATCATGAATGTCCGAGTCATAGGATTCTTAAATGCGTCAAAACTGAATATATTAAATTTTTCACTGTGATATTATTTTCAAAGTCATTAACATATTCAACACATCCACACGATGAAAAAACTGCATACACACAATTATCATGATACAAGAACTGATTCTTACGAAGTGTTGAATCTCTGAATCTCACCTGACAAAATCTGCTGCTTTGGTCCAGTTGGTTGGATTGTGGTTTATTATACTGATCAATAAGATGTGCTTGCCTTGTTATTTCATGTTGTTGTCGATTTCTCATATAGTGATGTAAATGTGTTATTGTAATAAAAACATAAATCATTGTGTCTACTTTATAAAAAGTTCTACTTACAGAGAGATAGCACAGTCACATTTGTTGTCTGAGTTCCCTGGCTATTATTAGCTGCACACGTGTAGTTTCCGTCCCTTGACCTTAACATGTTAAGCAAGGACAATCTATCTCCCTGCCAGACACGACCAGTTCTATCATGGTACCATGATATCTCACAGGCGGGATTACATCCAGCTGTACACCGGATATCCGGTATCTTACTACCCTCCTTCTTTGTATAGTGGGTTTCAGTCGGTGCAAGTCTTATGTCAGATCCACCATCTATAGGCAAAGACATTTTTGTAACCACATTTTTTTCTAATATCATGCTTCCGAGGCTTATTGTCATAAATGACCAATATTTCTTGTAAACATCTGTCGGCTTACCCTTAAAAGTACTGATTTCATTTTATTGTCTCAGTTGTTGTTTCCTACAAGACATTTATATAACAGAAGCTGACTTTCCATTTTTGAAGAGACCATTTATTTTTCGTATTCTTGATTACATTATTTACATTAAGTATGTTTCTAGACTTACATTGATGATATTATCATGGTCTTGTAGATTACATTATTTACATTAATTATGTTTCTAGACTTACATTGATGATATCGTACTTATCATTTATAATGTACAGATTTTTATACTTACAAATTACATTTATCTTCAGGGAAGTGGATATCTCCGAATATTCATTCGATGCTGTACAAGTATAGACACCATGATCAGTCCTGGTTGCCTTTGTAATGTTTAAATTTGTTCCACGTCTCCCATCTCTGTTGAAATTTGGTCCTGTCCAGATGATATCACAGGAAGGGGAGCAATCTGCCCGACATCGTATATTCACATTTGTTCCTTCTAGTACTGACAGATCACCATTTCTGGACAATGTCATCGATTTTGGACCATCTGAGTGAAGTAAAAAATGAACCGAATAACGTTAAGACTTTAAAACAAATCATCGGCAACATAAATAGTCACAAGTTCTGAATTTATGATTTCATTGTTGAAATATCAAGCATATGTTTGAATTTCAATCAGAAAAAAAATCAAATCTATCAGATTTTCACCAAAATGTAATTACATGTTACCACAATGTACTTACATATTACCAAAATGTACTTACTTATTACCAAATTGTACTTACATATCTCCAAATGTATTTACATATCACTAAAATATATTTTCATATTACCACAATGTACTTACATATGAACAAAAATGTACTGACATATTACCACATTGTACTTGCATATTATCAAAATGTTTTTACATATCACCAAAGTGTAATAATATGTTACCAAAATATACTTACCTATCTCCAATTGTATTTACATATCGCTAAAATATATTTTCATATTACAACAATGTACTTACATATGGACAAAAATGTACTGACATATTACCACATTGTACTTGCATATTATCATTACTTACATAAAGTTTTCACTGTGATTGACGTTGTACTTTTTGTATTTACACCCCGAGCCGTACAGGTATATGTGCCATCTTTGCTGCTATTTGAGCTACCGAGAGAGAGCGTGGTGTCATTACTGACTGGGAGGTTGTTCCTGGTCCAGGAGAAATGACACGCTGGATTACAATCGGCTGAGCAGTTGATGTCGTTTATTACGATACCTTCCAGTATGTTGTATCTCCGTGTTGTAGGTTCCAAACTAATATCGTCGGGTCCGTCTTAAAACATATTCATGTATAGAGAATGTACTAAATCTAGTTATACATAATTCATATAAACGAAGTAGAGAAAATGATCGAATTCTCGAATTTCATTTAAACTACTCAAACACGAGTCTTCTAATCTCATTCAAAACAGCTAAAACTCGAATATACTAATCTAAACTGAACTGCTAAAACACCAAAACTCGTCTCTCATAAAACCTGGTAAAACTCAGCTATCATAAAACCTGGTAAAACTCGACTTTCATCCAGATTGGTGAAACTCAACTATCATATAACCTGGTAAAGCTCGACTTTCTTCAAGATTGGTGAAACTCAACTATCATAAAACCTGGTTAAACTTGACTTTCATCCAGATTGGTGAAACTCAACTATGATCAAACCTGGTTAAACTCGACTTTCATCAAGATTGGCGAAACTCAACTATGATCAAACCTGGTAAAACTCGACTTTCATCAAGATTGGTGAAACTCAACTATGATCAAACCTGGTTAAACTCGTCTCTCTTAAAAACTGGTAAATCTCGACTTTCATCAAAACTGGTAAAACTCGACTTTCATCAAACCTGGTTAAACTCGACTTTCATCAAACCTGGTTAAATTCGACTTTCATCAAACCTGGTTAAATTCGACTTTCATAAAAACTGGTAAAACTCGATTCTCATCAATACTGATAAAACTCGTTTCTCATAAAAACTGGTAAAACTCGATTCTCATCAATACTGATAAAACTCGATTCTCATAAAAACTGGTGAAACTCGAATCTCATCAAAATTGGTAAAACTCGAATCTCATCAAAACTACTAACACATGTCTCTCATCTTAATTGGTAAAACTCGTCTCTCATCAGAACTGGTAAAACTAACTTTGGACTAATCTAAAGAAATATACTTTCTTTATGAACTAATTCTTTAAACTGAACATGCATAATTCAAATAATCGATGTTGCGAAAATTCGACCAAGAAAAAGAAATATTAGCTCAAAACGTTACAAATAATATCCACTTAACTGTTTAAAGAAAAAATCAGACTAAACTCCATTTCTAATCAACATTTTGAGATTTCTATGCTCTATGGAATTTTCGGTTTACCATTATCAACTCACATTCGACATTTATCTTCAAAGAAGTGGATTTGTTGCCGTAATCGTTAGATGCACTACAGTGATAAACACCGCTGTCGGTCTTACTTAAACGTTCAATGCTTAAAATATTTGCACGTCTATATGCTTGGTTAATATTCCCTCCAGTCCAGTAAAAGGCACAGGATGGGGAACAATCTGCCTGACATCGTGCCGAAAAATGTTGTCCTTTTCTTAGAGACTGATGACCAGATAGCGTAAGTGTTACGGATTGAGGTCCATCTTCAAAATGAAAAATGACATTTTCAATACGAAAGTTTAGTATAATCATCTGCTGTCGTATCATATTATGTATACCCCAATAAATTGTTAATGTGTGATAGACAAATCACAAATATGTAAAAAATGAATGAAATTTGTTTATCTTTCTACAATCGTGTACTATATAACAGAAAACAACATGTGTTTCTTTTGTCCTCTAGAAAATAATAACTGAAATGTGCAACCAATGTCATGTTTATACCGAAATTCAATCGTGATCCAAGAGATGACAGAACAATCTCAGTTGTCAGTAACTAATAAATGGTACGGTGTTACATGAATAACTCTCAGTTCACAGTAAACTATACTCTTACTAGGATAACTCACAGTTCACAGTGAATAATACCTTAACTAGGATAACACACAGTTCATAGTAAGCTAAAATCTTACTAGGATAACATACAGTTCACAGTAAACTATATATAATCTTACTAGGATAACTCATAGTTCAGAGTAAATATACCCTTACTAGGATAACTCATAGTTCACAGTAAACTATACACTTACTAGGATAACTCACAGTTCACAGTAAATAATACCTTTACTAGGATAGCTCACATTTCACAATTAAGTATACTCTTACTAGGATAACACACAGTTCACAGTAAACTATACTCTTAATAGGATAACACACAGTTCACAGTAAACTATACTCTTACTAGGATTACACACAGTTCACAGTAAACTATACTCTAACTAGGATAACACACAGTTCACAGTAAACTATACTCTAACTAGGATAACACACAGTTCACAGTAAACTATACTCTTACTAGGATAACTCACAGTTCACAGTAAACTATATTCTAACTAGGGTAACACACAGTTCACAGTAAACTATACTCTTACTAGGATTACACACAGTTCACAGTAAACTATACTCTTACTAGGATAACTTACTGCTCGCACTTACAGTTCACGGTGACGTAGAAGGATATCGATTCACTCTGTACCTCATTGCTGATTGTGCATATGTATTTCCCAGTGTCGTCCTTTGAGATATTTTTGTTGAAGATTTTGTCTTTCTTCTTTCTACCATTAGGTAAAGTCCACACAACTTCACATTTACCTCGACAGTCATCTGATACACATGTTCTTTCTGGGAGAAAATCTCCTATCTGTTTCGAAATATTTTCTTTGCTTGGTTTGATTGTGACGGCAAATGGGTTATCTGTAACCATAACATTAGTACGTCAAAGATGGGAAACATTCCTTACCTGATATTCTACTGACCAGATGTTTTAATTGATAGTGTTAATTTTTCTGTTTAATCGCCACATAAGACGGCTTGTTTCATATTAAACATCAACATTATTTGACAGTTATCACGTGTACGGAACAACATAGACATCATAAAGGCGATTGCGCACGATGCATATTTCGTTTGATAAACGACCGTAGCTTAACTGTGATGCTTAAAGTAAAACTTCTTATGAAAATGATATTCAATATTTCGTTATTACTATTATTTAGTAACTGTAACTAAAGAAGACTTTCTATATACGCTAGCTTCATGCCGTTGTGAATATCTATATTAAGAATGTCCTATTGAAACCAGGAAGGAATGAAGCATTCTACATCTGACACCGTGTAAGATCCGATCCCCTTTTTAACTTCGTCAAGATGCGCTTTATCGGAGGTGTGCCAAGGTGCCCAGCACTCAACCCTGTGATGTGTTTTGATACTACAAATTATAAGCGAGTCTACGTCACATATATATGATCGACCCCAACACCTCGTAGATAAAAAAAGGGCACCGACGTAGTTTTCAACTTACGTGTTCTGTTATTTTCACTTCTATAAACTGTTATAGATATTCAAATGTAAATACTGCGATGTATACACATTTCTCGAGATGTTATAATTAATATCACAACATTTGAAGCGTTATGGGATTGTCTGTGACGTCACAATGGGCGACGCTTCACACTACTGACTGTTCACTTTCTTGTTTGAATTTGGCAGACTTTAACTATTGTCAATGTAAGTGTAAAATACTTTCGGTCCTAGAGTAAAATATTAGTCTAAGGGTCAAATACTGTCAGTCTAAGGGTTACGAAATAAATTAATCATCTATATATTTTGGGTCAATCCCCTTACAAATTCACATAACATCAGCACCGCTTTGTATTATACGTGGGAACCACTAAAGTTTGGCTTTGATTGTTTAGGAAAATTTAGAATAATGAAACTTATATGTGTTGGCAGTTTAATCATTGGAGTGCTAGAGGGTCGTATGTGCTCCTCTATCAATGTTTTGTCATTACAATACTATTAATTATGTCATATGCTTAATGACGTCATTATATGTATGGACATAGGAACCGTACAGCGCTCATTGATTCGTGTTTACTCGCTTATTTGGATGTATTGTTAAGCTCCAAGAATAAATCTGATGCTATTTAAAATAAAAAAGAAGCAATTCGCTGGCCGTGGTCATCAAGCCATGTTTTCATTATTTTCTCAATGCACAAATTTACATTTAAATGTAAAAACTACCCTCCACCAAGTTCTATATGTAGATAGCATACTGTTTTATGGTAGTAGGGTTTGGGGTGGTGTAAGGATTACATTTATTGACGTTACAAAAAAAAGATACTATGGAACTCTAGGCTGGTTTTGCAGGAGACGGTTTAGTAAGGGCACGGTGTGTTGAAATGAGCGGACATTGTTGGTTAGATCCGGATGTGATATTAGTCAGATCAATTTTTTCTGAAAATTACATGTATACATGCCTAATGTGCGCTTCATAAGCAAAGTGTATAAAGTTTATAAATTGAAAAGGATACACGTAATGATGATAAGTGACGAGTATATATTACACGAGTATAGTTCCATAAGAGATCACCGTGTCCCTACCGACTTTAAACTGACGGATTATTTGTATCGATGATCGATACAATATAAAACAATATTTAGTAGTATTTAACGCCTGTAACAGAATATCTATAACTTTCATGAGTGCGAAACAAGGATGAAAAATATTGATGTATTATATCATAAGAGTAAAATATATATATTTTACGGAAAACCATTAAATTTTCATTTTGTTACATTTTAAAAGGAAAAACTGAATCCGAACATACAATAAAGTTGTATTCAAAAAAATGTTTGGGAGCTTTTTGAGATCAGATAGTTTGACATTACATTATAATGACAATAAGACGACACCATATTGAATAAGCTGCTTTACAGTTTTATGTTTTCTACCATCTTATGCCGTTATCTGTGTCCGTGTCAGAATCGCTGACTAAAATTATTCTTTAAGCTAAATTAGAGAAATGTATCGGAATTGTTAGATGAAAATCCCGTAGTTAATGCATTTCAATTTAATTTTCTGTGATTTATAAATATGTTTTTGCTCATAAGTAGCAATAGGATTGGGCACAAGTTTTACAACTAATATCGGTGTCGGTTGCGTGTCAAGCGAAATAGCTGATGTACTGCCCACAAGCCCAAAACTCTCAACTTGTCAATAATACTGCAAAATCCGATATTTTCGTGGGCCTCAGATTTGCGTGTTATTTTTTATGGAAAAACTATTTCGTGGATAAATATTGCGCAATGATTATATACCAGTTTTAATGTTTATGGAATTCGTTAAGTAATTAGCGGTACGTACCGACGATTTCAACGAAAATTAATCTCAGAAGAAAGTTGATGATTTTACAATAAAACAATTTGGTAACTACTACTTACACACTGTTAAGGTGATTGGAGAACCAGTTAAGTTTAGAGGTGACCTGGAGTAGGTTTCACCTTTTGATTTCAGCCCTCTACATGTATAGGTACCAGTGTCCTTTACATTTGTATCACGTATGGTCAATGAAGGCCTTCTGTAGGAAGATCCAGAATATTTTGTATTCCGCGGACTGACAGAGCTGAACACCTGAGCTTGTCGCCCCTCTTTGGTCCAGTGTACGTTAGATAGGTATATTGGTGGCGAAATCGAACATTCAAGTGTGATGGTAAGTCCCGCTAAAACAGAGTATGTAGTCTTTGGCACCCTCACTACAATGAAAAAAAATCAAACGATAAAGTTTATAAGGACGAATTTAATTTTTTGCCGAAATGAGTTTCAGGCTTCAAGATAAGATGTACTATATTACATCATGCAAACAATATATTGAATCTGTGGTCTGATTAGATTATCAGATAGAGTCGACTCGTCTTCTCTTGAGCTTGAAAAAAATGTACATAATTTGTCTGGAAGCTACCGGTAATTCGTTGATATTGCCTAAAGCAAACAATAAATGTAGTCCATGCCTGTTCCAGCTAACAAATGTTTGTAAAATTAAATATTTAAAGAGTTTGAAAGCCATGCACAATTCCTTCAATGGTTTATGCCAAATAATTGATTAAATTTCTCACATAACCGCTTCTTTTCTTCTGGGACCCATCACTGATGCTAGTGGGCTTTAGGTTTGATGTTTAAGTGACGCATAAATAGAATAAAAATCAGTCTTATTCAAATATGTAATTATAGACGGGTAACAAGCAGTTATTGTGGAAAAAATCCACCAGCAATAGCACCTTTTTATGTAAATGATTAATATCTAAAATGTATGATAAACAAAACATGGATGTCGATTGTCCAAACAATGAGCTTTGCACCTCTTTCGAAGAAGAGTTCTTTTTATATTACTGCCGACAAAAACAAAAGTCGATGGTAGATACGTAAGACAGTAGAAGTTGACTGCAAAAATCCATACTTTAAAGGTAATATTTATTTTGCGCTTATTGCGTACAAAGTATCACGCTAAAATGTGATTGCGCTGACTGCGGTTTCTGTGTTTGGAATATACAGCGATTATATTAGCGATGAAGCTGCGTCATGGAGACGTATTCTTCTTAGTAACGTTAAGGGCTTAAAATGTGAAAATCTGGAAGAGTTCCAACATGGTATAGAAAGAAACTTTTACACTGTGACTACATACAGATATTATGTTTAGGGTAGTTATGGATACCCTGTCATGTTAAGCTCGTGAAGTACACGAAGTTAGTTTAAACATATTTATTGCCAAGAGATAGACAAGGGATCAGGTACAAGTTATTGAAACTTATCGACGCCTTCGCCTAATATACATTTGAGATAACATTACAATACTAACAATACAAATATACAGTTATTGTTAAAATTTGACATCAAAATATCTTGCTGGATTAAATATAGTTTAAACAGATCTAAAAAAGTTTGAATTAAGGTCCAAGAAAACTTGAGAATTGCCAAGCAATTGAATTTCTATATCTAACCCAACGTTTCAATTAGTTTAATTCTAGGTTAACTCTAAAAAGATCTTAATTGAGGGAACTGCACTGGTGTTAGAGCTTAGAATGCATTATATTAAACTGAATTTGAATGAATTAATACAGTGCTGGGATCGAACTGAATTTCCTAAGTTATTAGTTATTCCATCATTAAAGAGTAGAAGGTAGAAAAGAAGAGTTAGGAAGAGACAGTCTGAAAGGAGGAATCCTATACTTATTATTGTTACGTAATTCGTAACGATTTTCGCCACATAAAGACAGCAAAAACCCATTGAGGCATTCAGGTGTTAATTTATTATGCATCTTATAAACTAGTTGCGAAGTTTTCTAATTTTTCTGAAATTAGATAAGTTTTTAAGACCAGCTTCGTAGTATAAAGTATTAATAGGGATATATGAAGACAGTCCTAATATAATGCGAGCAGCTTTACTTTGTTTTTTTCTACCTTTTCTAGTTCAAAAATAGTGCAACCCGCCCTCAACTCACAAGCATATTCTAAAACAAGAAAAATAAATGTCTTTTAATTTTTTCAAAGAGCATCCCTACTTAATAAATATTTCAACTTCCGTAAAACATTGATTTTTTTCATAGCCGAAGTGCAAATTCCATTAACATGACACCCCCCGCCCCCAACACGCTTTGCATTCGAATTGAGTAACACATAAATGTTTATGATAATCTTTCAAATTTAAGACTTTCCCATCAAATTCTATGTCTATAAGAAATAAAAGTTGTCCAATAATAGAGCCTTGCGGAATCCCTGCCTCAATGCCCTTCAGACAGAAGAATATGAACTATTTAAAAAAAACCTGTTGATATTTATGAGATGAATAATTTCCAGACATATAAGCAATTCACCTGAAATTCCGTACGTTTTTAATTTCGCCAAATGACCTCTATGCCAGACCCTATCATAGACTTTGGATATGTCAAAGAATACAACACATGCATGTTTTTTCTGAGTGCAATACGAATTTGGTGATAAATGTTAATGAGTTGATACACTGCAAAATTGCCCAGTGAATAAAACGAGACTGATTTTTGTAAAACAAAGAATTTTCTATGAAATAGTTGTACAACAGTTTAAAAAGCACTCAAAATCTTTACCAACAGTGGACAGCACACGGAAATAGGTACATAATTTCGAAGGAGAATGTCTTGTCATCCTTTTTAAACAATGACATAATATTAGGTAAATTCCATTTGTTTGGATAAATCCCTGCTGTTAAGGAAATATCAAATAATATAACGTAATACAAACAGTGTGTGCAGTATTGCCTTATTCCATCTTCATCCGAAGTCTTGTAGAGCTTCAATATCTGTAGAACATCGCGTATTTCAGTCGAATTTAATCTAATTGAGTTAATTTGTCAGTTTTAAGCTCAATAATTGGAACATTTGTTTTACCGTCTTCTACTCTAGAAGTATTACAAAAATTATCTTCATCTCTACAAAGTATGTCATTAGTAACATAATCTATATGACGTGAGAGTTGTCGGCCCTTGGATAATATGGACGGTGTTGACAGATTAGCTCCAATGGAAATGTGAATTCTGTGTATTTCGGGGTCAGGTTTGGTATAGACTTATGGTTGTATGATGCATTGAAAAACCTTTTTGGTTATACCCTATGCCGTGCATGTGATATGTCTCATCCCAGCTGAATAACATTTTATTGGAAGTGCTTATTGTGTCGTGTATACATTCCTGTGTTCATCGGACCGTGAACGTAACATGTATGTGAACGTTTACATTGAAATGATCTGATTCTTGACTGTTTTATGATGCATTGAATAACTTCTTTGGTTAAATACCCTATACCGTACATGTGATATGTCTCACTCCAGCTGAATAACATTTTATTGAAAGTGCTTTATTGTGTCGGGTATACATTCCTGTGTTCATCGAACCGTGACCGTAACATGTATGTGAACGTGTACATTGAAATGAAGTGATATTTGACTGTTTTACTTGTACTCAATGTCATTCAGGAACTATACCATTCCCGTTTCTCAGTCAAAAAGAGCATTATCCTCATCATCAACACCATCCCCTATCACCAGAGACAATAAAAAACAAAAACATTTACCATCCACATCAACCCCGTTATCCGATAGTGTGTTTGGATTCAATTTATCATCCCCGATGGCTACTACATCCCCAACCCTCCAGCAGGGAATCCAACATCCCCTGCCAGGCCTTCTACCTCCGCTACCCAGTCCGCTACCCAGTTTTTCTTGACGACAGCTGTCCGATTTCCAATGACCTGCAGGCTGCAAAATGTCCAACATGCTGTTCATGGCACCTCTGGTAGAGAAAGTGGCCAGACTGGAGGCTGAAAACGAAATTATCGTACATTGACGTCCAGAGGACCTCACAATGTGGTGTCGATCCCCCCTCAGGCGCTGGAGCGATCTCATCGAGTTGGTAAACCGGAAACTTCCGCAGACGCTAAATTTACAGTCGGGTTTCGTTCCAAAGATCCCTACAAAGGCATTTCCGTAAACGAGGACCTCACTAAATATCGTGGTCGCTTAGCCATTCCTTGCGAGGAACCTAGTAAAGAGTAGCCAGATATCGCAGACTTGGACAACAAACGGTAAGATTTTGATTAAAGACAAATCTTCCAAAATCTTTCAAATCCGGCGGGAATCTGAACTTGAACCCTTCGGTCACAATATGTGATATCACCTAGTTGGGGTCAGCGTCGCTGGGCTGACACTCCGACGGTGATATGTGTCTTATATCAACACAGGACCTATGTGCCTTTTCTTAAGTCCACGTCTCGATTTCGACTGTCAGTTTCCTCGGGACGCATTTTAGCTTATACATGTTCAACTTTGTAGCCATTTATACATTTGTCTTTTCAGCAATAGCATGAAACTTGTATTCACAAATTTTATTCTATATAGATCTTCTAATTGAGAATATATTAACACAATGTATGCAAATCGAGTATATAATTCAAGCTTACATCAGAATTTGTTCAATACTTTTGTGGTTCTCAGGATGTGCTCACGGCTTATTGAACTAATGAAGTTATTTTTTTTTGTTAAACTCATAAATCCGCTATCCTATCCATGTAGTCATCTACATGTATTAATAGATTTTTTCTTTCTCCCTTTGCAAGCGCACCTTGAAAATATTTGTTCGTGTGTTCCTATCCATTACTGTATGTTCGTTAGTCTGATTTATCTATATCCTCAATTATTTTGCTCATCATACAGGTGTAACAAAATTTACGCGTGCTCATAAACATTCTTGATACTCAAACTTCGTATCCAAATATACACATATTACTTATCTTTTCAACCAACAGAGCTCCTGGGATGTACCTCTAGCTCGTAAGTCTAAAAGTTCGTCATTCTGTACACGTTACATAAATACTGATACTTTTTCTGCTGATATATTATTGATAATTGTACGTTAAAAGCTTTATTGTTAAAACATAAACTTGTATAAAGACACATCTCTCGCCTCGTATACCCAGGGATGCCCATTTACGTATTTTGTTAATATATTTCGCATCTGTGATGCGGTAATAAAAAAAAACATAAGATCATCATGAAATTATCTCAGTCTGTAAATATTTCGTGTAATCATGAACAGTCCGAAACGACTAGAAATGTTATACTTATATATATCTTGTTGTATACTTCTACACAATTTGACTGTTGTCCAGTGTAATATTTTTAATATTTTACTGTTGTCCAGTGTAATATGTTTACTGTTGTCCGGTGTAATGTATTTACTGTTGTCCGGTGTAATATATTTACTGTTGTCCGATGTAATATATTTACTGTTGTCCAGTGTAATATGTTGACTGTTGTCCGGTGTAATGTATTTACTGTTGTCCGATGTAATATATTTACTGTTGTCCAGTGTAATATGTTTACTGTTGTCCGTGTAATATGGTTACTGTTGTCCAGTGTAATATATTTATTTACTGTTGTCCGGTGTAATATATTTACTATTTACTGTTGTCCGGTGTAATATATTTACTGTTGTCCGGTGTAATATATTTACTGTTGTCCGGTGTAATATATGTTGTCCACTGTTGTCCGGTGTAATATATTTAATGTATTTACTGTTGTCCGGTGTAACATATTTATTTATTGTAATGTATTTACTGTTGTCCAGTGTAATATATTTACTGTTGTCCGGTGTATTGTATTTACTGTTGTCCGGTGTAATGTATTTACTGTTGTCCGGTGTAATATATTTACTGTTGTCCGGTGTAATATATTTACTGTTGTCCGGTGTAATATATTCACTGTTGTCCGGTGTAATATATTTACTGTTGTCCGGTGTAATATATTTACTGTTGTCCGTGTAATATGTTTACTGTTGTCCGGTGTAATATATTTACCGTTGTCCGGTGTAATATATTTACTGTTGTCCGGTGTAATATGTTTACTGTTGTCCGGTGTAATATGTTTACTGTTGTCCGGTGTAATATGGTTACTGTTGTCCAGTGTAATATGTTTACTGTTGTCCGGTATAATATGGTTACTGTTGTCCGGTGTAATATATTTACTGTTGTCCGGTGTAATATATTTACTGTTGTTCGGTGTAATATATTCACTGTTGTCCGGTGTAATATATTTACTGTTGTCCGGTGTAATATGTTTATTGTTTTCCGGTGTAATATATTTACTGTTGTCCGTGTAATATGTTTACTGTTGTCCGGTGTAATATATTT